AGTTAAATGACAAAAAATTAGGTGTCTATTTACTTGTGACCACTCAGTGTATATTATGAAAGTTCAAAGTTGATTAAGGATTAAACTTAAAATATATTACAATAAAATTGATTAAGTATACATTCAAGTTGTTCTTATTAATGGATTTTTTTTATATAGGTAAAATAAAAAATTACAGTGTTACAGATCCCTTAATTAATATTATATGATTTACTGCTGTAGAGAATATAGATCTCTAAAATTAACTAAAACTGAGAAAACATTAGCTCTTAAACAGCTGCTCAAACAGCAACAATTACAAATGTTACCTCTTTTTGGTCTGTATTGAGTTGAAGATGCTCTGCATGCTGCATTTGTCTGTCTTTTTTTTTCCATTGAGCATTAGATCTCTTCTTAGATCTAAAATAAAGATTTAAGAAAAGTGATTTTAACACAATTGATGTGCTTAAGAATTCTTACAGTTTTCTATGAAAAAACTAATCTCCCTGACAGATTTTTTCAGATTATTTAAAAAATGTTTTCCTAAAAAGAGCAATGGTTTCATGTATTTATTTCTACATATCTATCAAAAGCTTTTCTGACAATTATATAATTTAAAAGTTTTGCTTTTGACAGTTTTATCCGTTTTATTTTTTATTTATTTCCTGTAATACCTAAAAACCACTAGTTGAGCCCAAAGGATCCACCTCAATCAAGTAAATTCTCATACAAAACTAATAAATCAGGAAATTTGACAGACTTGAGCAAAAAGACAAAAAACATGCTTTCCCAGCATCGTGATGATTAAAGAAATAACAAAAGGGAATTAGGATTATGAATAAACCCTAACAAAACCATTTATTGCCAAAGCTATGTTGCCAGCATTTACAAAAAAAAACAGGAAAGGAAAACTGACTGTATATGTTCAGATTTGTTTTTACTTGAGATTTACTGAGCTACATTTTATTCATAGCATTAAGATCCTATAACATTACATTATTTGCCAATAAATTTTCTTCCTTTAAGTATTTCTTAGGATTTTTGTTTCTATACACTATTAAAAAAAAGTCCCATTTGCAAAAGCATTATTACGTAACATCGGAAAAAATAAATCAGACTTAGAGCAAAAGCCACTTATCCTGTTTCATTAACATCTGAAACCACATTATGATAAACAAAAAATCAAACTTACCTAATATGGGCAGGCTCTCGATTCAATACAGAGACATCCAGCGGAGGAAAGTGGCCTGCAATATGTCGTCTTCTACTTATTATCTCTGACAAAACTTCTAAGGCTCGAGGTGAGGGAGCTGTAACATCAGCAACTGAGGCCCGTTTATCGATGACAACTTCTGAAATACAGCAATAAATAACAAATTAAAGATGTTTTAGAGTTGTTGTTTTTTTTTATAGTTACTCTATAGATAGTAAAAAGTTTTATGAAATACACTTACTTATGAAATTCCAATTACACAACACTTCACAATGAACTTTTTCTCTAAATCTACATTCCATGGAAAATATTTTGTTTGTAATGTAAAACTAGAGTTGCCAATTAACTCAAGTAATCAACAGAACTGATTACATATAAGCATAAATTACATTGATTAATTTCACATGAAATAATAAACTAATTGAAATCAGTGTCTGATTATTACTGTTTTTTGATTATTCAAATTATCCAAGTAATCTAAGATTGCCATTATGAATTCTCATTACTATTTTCACTTAATTCAAAATTGTTCAGCTTAATCGATTATTGTCATGACTCAAAAATAATCAACTAATCGAAGTAAGTGTTTCTGATTACACAAGCCCGCGATGGTTTTATTGTCATGAAAATTTTATATGTTCTACAGTACTTCCTGTACAATAAATCCGAAAATGATATCCATTTTTCTCCATCATGTACATAACGCAATACATAAAAGAAAGACCACAACACATAGTTTTGAAACTAAAAGACGTAGATTTCACAAAAAAATCAGAATGAATGAGAAGGCATACTCGTTTAACATCAATGTTCTTCATTTTTTTTCTAGTTTGTTTGTATTTTTGTTAACAAACATAATAATAAAAAATGTTCATTATGGTAAACGAAATAAAAATTTGATCTTAGTGAGAGTTTTTTCTTCTTCCTAATTTGTAAAAAATTCCACTCTGTGTATTCACTTGTGCCTCATCAAACAACCTGGTGCCTATACCTCAGACATACTGCAAAATGCTCATCATTCGTGAAAACACAACAACATTGATACAAATATTCTATTGTTTTAACAATTTCTGTAATTACCATAAATAAGCCAGCTCAGGTAAAATGGTGGGATATGGTAGCAGGATCACTACCAGAACCCCTCAAAAATACTAAAGCAAAAATAACATAATAACTTGCTGAATGTTGTGTACTGAGTGTTCAGAGAATTTACTTCCTTATTATCATAAGCAATACACTAACATGGGTACATTATCCCTACTTTAGACAGTGAACAAGATTTTGTTTACATCTGAAAAAGCATGCAAAAAAAATTGTTTTGCTCCTTTATATTTTCATGTATGTTGCATCCATTCCTATAATATAGTTTGTATAGGACAGGAATTAACATGAACAGATTTGCCACAGTAGCATTTATTTCACACCAAAAGAAACTTAACTTTCTGTGCATTCAAAAGTCCATGTATTTATCTTATCTCAATACTGGAGAAATTTCTTCTCAGCAACTGTATCAATGCATTTCAAATGAAAAATATTGATAATTTTTCCACCCTCCAATGGAATCATCAACTTCCACCCAGGAAAAACCTATCATGCAGTAAGCAATTGGTTGAACTATGACACACAGAACATTGCATTTTGGATAGAGATGATACTAATGTGGAGATTTCTTCCACAGTGTGCACATGTTTAGGGGATTTCCATGCACTATTATAGATACCTTGTAAATTGAGCCAGGTAGAACTGTGTGTAGCTAGAAGTAGTGTTTCTGCAAATTTCTGTACCAGGCTGGTCTTATGGTGTGCAGCTCATGCCTTAGGAATGAAAACCACTGTTTGTGTATGTTCAGAATTTGAACAGAGCTGTTCAATACAAACATTAAAATAACATGAGAATTATCACTTCTTTGATAATATTCTCATGTTGCTTGCATTCCATTGTATTTCCCTGGTTCAATTTACACAAGGCAGTACATACAGCTTTGAATAATTGGGTTGTCCAAAGGACAACATAAGTCATTAACTTTTACAGCATTTGATTGTTCAACAGAATTCCTTGTCATCTCAGATAACTATTAAATTTGTTCACTGATATAAAACCAAATGAGAGCTTCTGAAGAAACTTTAGTCACAGAATCTGTGTAGTCTGTCAAAAGTTACAGGTGCGTTGTGTAAAAGAAAAAGTATATGACTATGTCACATAGTGGTTCTTTACTTTATTAGCAAATATAAAATTTAGGTTAAAGGGTTTTCAATGATTATCATGTTTTACATTTGAATTGCTTAAGATATGATAACATTTATAAGTTCTGAATGTTCATGAAAATACAGAAATAATAATGTGCTTCCCATGAGCTGTAAAGTGGTAAAGCAAGATAATTTGTTTAATTTCATCTCATTTTTTAACAATATCTATAAGTTTCAGTATTTTGTATAGTTTTAGTGTATCACTATTTTACAAATCAATTATTTATGGTGTTTGAAACTTACATTTTACTAAGTGTTCTTTTATTAATAAGTAATGTAATTAAGTTACAAGACATCTATTTCATCAGAATATACAACATTTTACTGATGGTACAACCAACCTGTATCCCTGAAAGTTGCACATGGTTCATAACAAGGTGCTCTAATGAGGGAATCTCTGTGCCTCTCCCGAATCAGCTTTATTCGTGAATCAAACACCTGTGAAACCAATGAGTTAAATCAAGTAATGAAAATTAAAATGTAGTGTGTCTAGTGAATTCTTAATGACTTCAAATCCATGCTTCATCAATACACAATACTGCTTTGCTACATAAAGCTGGGATTTCACAGCAAACACACCTACCAATTAGATATACATTTTTAATTTAATAGAATGTCTTGTCATGTATAAGATGCAACAATTTTTAAATAAGCAAAAATTTATCGTTATAGACATTATAACTTTGACTTGATACTTTTCTTAGGAGTTTCATTTAAGTAATATTTCATTCAAATTATAGTCACTTTTCAAACATTATAAAAACTACTATACAGTAATAAGATAAAATAAATTAAAGGTCATAATTTTTTCCACTCTAATGTAAGAAAACAAATGCAAATTTGTTGAAACATTATTTTTAATTTTTACGTATCTGTTAAAAAATCCATCATAATCTTAAACACTACTCCAGATTTTCTTTTTTTATGTATAAAAATACATAAAAATTTCATAAATGATCAATTATACATGTTTGATACTTTAGGGAAAAATGAAAACAACCTTTAAATAACTGTCTGGCTCCTCCCACTGAGACGTGATTTTGTTGTCCACCAAAGTAGCAAACATTTGAGACTCAATAAAACGAGAAAGAAATGGAAGATGAGGTTCTGGCTGATCAGAGAGAAAAGAGGTTTTGTCAAAGTTCTGCATGCTTTCTCTTGAGTTAATCCACTGCTCCATATCTTGCTGTAAAACAAAACGATCAAACTGAGTGATCTCAAACAACTTTGAGCATTTTGTAAAACTAATGTTCAAAAATGCTAAAAAAAGCCAGTAACCTTAAATATCTTTTGAAATTAGTGCATGTCAGTAAGCTAAACATCTTGAATACCTCAATTTGTGTGTATGCATATCTTGAAAAACAAAACTAGTGCCAGCACAAAAAAATCTGATCATGCTTTATAAACACAGTAAACACTGGAAATTAAAAAGAACAAAAAACTATATATATATACATATTTAGAGAATCAAAAGCAAAATGTGACAGTCAAAACAGATGTTATTAAAAGATTTAGCCTTCATGTGAGGAGACAGGTGGTCAAGGGTAAATAGCTAGTCAACATTTTCTTTGCCCATAGTTGTACTTAATGCTAACAGTTGAATTGTGTGTTTGATGAATTTGAAGATGGTACTAGAGATAAAATATCTTTACCACAGAGAACCTGGATATAGTTGACTTTATTCTAGGCTTTAGTTTGAATATTAGCAATATGCTTACACTACATTAATTATCTATCGTACATAGTTCCAAAACAAATTGTTAATGTAATCTTTTGCATTTTTGTACAACTTCAAATAAGGCAGAGAAGACTTTACCATTTGTGTTTTAAGTAGTTTATTAGAATTTACTAATGGAAAAATTTACGCATGCTGAGTAAAAGAGATGGGAATTTTTACTTTGCCACAAGTTGGCACATCATTATAAAACTGCCAAGCTCAGGTGTTGTTGGTGAAACCAACTTTTACATTATTAGTAAACATAAAAATGTTTTTGACTTCTCTGAATCAAGAATAAAGATGACAAGTTTTCTCCATTTATGTGTATGTATACTAGTGTACTGATAATGAGGTTAGAAAATCAATGTTATAATTAGAAGATAAAATCATACAATTTGGCACTACTGTAAAAAAAAACAACTACTGTCCATTGTTTCAAGGATTTTGCCAACATAGTTAGTTAGGCTACTGAAACAGTTGTTATCCATATTTGTTTCCAGTTTTTCTTCACTATGGATTAGCTATTTTCCTACTTGCTTGAAAACACACCAAGTAAGAAAGAAAAGAAAGCAGTAATTTGGTTGAGATGTTAAACAGAATTTATTTTATGAAAGACATTAGAATTCTGATGGAGATATTTAATACAACTGGCAATTTTGGGAGTATTAACTAAGCCAAAAAAAATACAAACAGTATGTTTAGGTCAGTAGACAAAATAATGTGTGACAATTACAAATTTCATGAATATACAAGTTTTGAAAAATTATTAAGACAGCTTTCTGACAATAAAGTAAACATGCACAATGAGCATCTTAGCAAAGGTTAGAGTTCATTATTTCCCCCCCCCCCCCCAACCTTTCAGTAGCACCAGCACAAACCATATCCATCTCTAACTTTGCTAGGCTGGCATTAAGATCCAACAATATACTATATATATACAACATGGAAATTGTATAAGAATTTATAAACCAAATTCACAGAGAAAATAGAAGCCAAATAAAAATGGTATGCACATAACCAAGCAGTCTAATTTTCTAAAAATTCAATAAGTTTAACAGCTACAATTTACTTGCACATACTTGCAAAATCAATTAAGTGAATAATGAATAAAACTGACCTGACTCGGCTGAATAACAAAATGATCATAAGAGTTAAACATTTGAATGAACCTATTCAGAAAGACTTCACGAATTGCATTATTAAACTTAAGATCTTCCATATACTGTTGTCCATTTCCTAGTCCTTTACTAATAGCCGACTTGTTACTTCTATCGGAATCACGCTTCTTTGGTTTATGTAAGTCTTCAAAAGATGTTATAACTCCTGAAATGTACAAGTTCAAAAAAATAAAAGGAATTGTTATAAATGTTCTCTTTACTTCATGCATGTCTTTTAAAACCTGAGAACCTTCAGGTAATATCTATCATATTACATGGGTGTGTGTGTGTAATTTATTGATTTAAATCTTTTTTTATTTAAATTAAAGAAACTGTGCTTGTATATTAAGTTAACAAGAAATCAAACTTATCTCGTTATAACAGTAGACCAGTAGCTGACTGATTAGATTAATGTTAGCAAAATTAAACTGGGTAAACATCTTTTTCAGAAGTTCAGTGGAAGTTGCACCTTTTCTAAACAACCTATTAAACCCCAAGTAATATCAGAAAAAAGCAGTTCTTTCTCATAATTTGGTATACGGTCAATTTAAACAAATAACTTAAACAGGTAAATGTACAAGCATGAACTAAATGTTAACAAACACAATAATAATAATAAAATGCAGGTTGGCCCAATTCTTAAAACTGAAATTACAAAAACAAAGATTTATAAATTTTTAAAGCACTAGTAACTGAAAATAGCAGTTCAAAAAAGGAAGGAAACTGGTAAACAAAACAAATAGTACGATGTTGTTCCAAGTCATTAAAGCAATAGTTCAGAGTATCAAAGTTAAAAAAAAGTTTTGTTTGTTTGTTTGCAGTTAAGAACAAAGCTAAGCAATGAGCTACCTGTGTTGAGCACCCACAAATATCGAAAACCCAAGTTTTAGCATTGTAAGTTGGCAGATATATTGCTAAGCCACTGAGGGGGGGGGCAATAAACGAGTTACAGATAAAACAATATAATGTTAAAAAAAAGAGAATAGAAGCTTTAGACTAAATACCTGTTAAGATCAAAAGCAGGTGAATGGCAGCATTCAACAACTTGGGATTTCTAAACATGGCTATTATATCTAAAATAAGTCAGTCATATACAGTCCTATTGGATTCTTTAATGTAAACAACAGCAAGTTACTAAGATAACATATGGATAAATATCTCATGCCATCATATAAATGCTAGTTTAAATTAAGATCGATTATAGTTATTATACCAACCCTGAAGCTTCAAGTTTAGTCAATTATCTATAATAATAGTATGCCACTATGACTTATGTTGCAGGATATCTCGTAACATCTGTCAGAAGTTAGAAACCTTGTAAGTCATGTATCAATAACCACAGCTATGCTCCCTTATAATTGAAAAACATTGCATACTTGATTCAAAATTAAAAGTTGTATTGATGAAATTAAGAGTATAATTATCTTTAAATCATATTTTTTATAATGTTTCATGTCAATAAAACAATAGAATAACATTTATTTATAAGCAGACAAGTTTTGTTCTACAAACTTTTAGCTTTCCTGACATTTTCAAAAACTTTCCAGTCTAGATGGGGGTGTCAATGACATCCATGATACCACAATAGAAATATTTAATCAACTTGCGTGCATATTAAGATACAGTTAATATTATCTGGTATAAACTTAAAAACTCACATAATCTGATTTAGTTTTCTATCATTATTTACATTTTGAAGCTTCCAAAAGTTTGTTGCAAGACTGTTTTGATAAAACATTAAAAATACTTCCTTTCTCTTAAGAATTTCAATTTTTATTTGTTGTTCAGAATGTTAACATTTTCTAACACTGAAAATGTATTTCCAATAGGTACTTACCTACACTTTAAGCATTGCTAAAAATTTTCAATGGCACACCAGTCTTTTATACCCAGTGGTGGGATTCAGCCGGTTCGTGCGAACCTGTTCTTAGAATTTAATGACCTCCATGAACCGGTTGTTAACAATCGCATGTATAGGCCTAATAATAACGTTACAACTTACAAG